TCAATTTCAGAGCCAATTTCAACTTCACAACGAAGGATATTGGACTCCGGACAACGCAAGTTCAACTTCACGACGAAGGGACCGCTGGTTGTCAACAAACATTTCTCAAATTCAGAGCCAATTTCAACTTCACAACGAAGGATATTGGACTCCGGACAACGCAAGTTCAACTTCACGACGAAGGGACCGCTGGTTGTCAACAAACATTTCTCAAATTCAGAGCCAATTTCAACTTCACAACAAAGGATATTGGACTCCAGACAACGCAAGTTCAACTTCACGACGAAGGGACCGCTGGTTGTCAACAAACATTTCTCAATTTCAGAGCCAATTTCAACTTCACAACGAAGGATATTGGACTCCATACAACGCAAGTTCAACTTCACGACGAAGGGACCGCTGGTTGTCAACAAACATTTCTCAAATTCAGAGCCAATTTCAACTTCACAACGAAGGATATTGGACTCCAGACAACGCAAGTTCAACTTCACGACGAAGGGACCGCTGGTTGTCAACAAACATTTCTCAAATTCAGAGCCAATTTCAACCTCACAACGAAGGATATTGGACTCCAGACAACGCAAGTTCAACTTCATGACGAAGGGACCGCTGGTTGTCAATAAACAATTTCCCAATTTCAGCTTCACAACGAAGTATCTTTGGCTAGAAGACGATCCATGAGCTACCTCCAGAACTCTGAGTTCGATTTCAACTTCACGAGTTCGATTTCAATTTCACGACGAATGATTCAGGCTCAGAATCTTCCAGTTTTAACTCAACCTCACGACGAGGGAGTCATCTCGTGTTTTAAAAACCAGTCTCAACATCGAATTTCAACTCTACGACAGAGGATATTCGATATGGACGAAATTTATGTCTTTTAATCTTTGCTCTATTTTCGTTACACGACAATGAGCAAAGAGGGGCAGCTGAATACACTAAATTTCGTCCTTATATTATATAATATATATATTTATATTATAAATTATATTATATTTACATTTTTTCTTTTCAGGGCCCAACAGTGGACCAAATCCAAGTCCCACGTAACCCAACAGCAGCCCAAGCCAAGAAACCCTGTGGTAAATTAGGGTTTCAGCCGTCTCTCTCCACCAGCGCAGCAATCCTCCTTTCCGAGTTTCACGGCCACCCGTCTCACATCTTCCACAACTCCGATTCCTCCGGCGCAAGGATTTCATGAAGATAACAAGCCAACAAACATTGGAGTTAGAGTTCTAATAGGGGTCAAACACTTAGATTCTAGGCTATAAATAAGACATGTAATCTATTTGTAAAGGAAAGTTTTTTTACAGAGGGAGATTACCCACAAAATCATACGAGAGACAGATAGACAATTACACAGCTTTCACACGGGAACATCGAGAGAGATCAGAAGCTATTCGGGGTAAACACAAGCATTTTGTAATCATTGTGTGAAGAAATAAAAGGGTACAAAAATCATACCTTTCTTTTTTTCGTCTTGCATGCATAGTTATTCCACTGATTTTGATTCGAATAAAACCCAGAAAAGGGTTCCTGGTCGATGAAAATAAGGGGTAAGCCAAGATCTTCTCCTTTAGATCCACGGCTCCCCGAGGCGATTTAAAAAAAAAAAGAACCAACCTGGATTTTCAGAACATGGGGGGAGATCTTTTAGAAAAATGGAAACTTTTTTTTTCCACTTCCAGTGGACAGCAGCGTCGACAAGACAAGGCGGCCGAACTCTGGGATCCACGGCCGTTGTTCATCTGGTTGATGAACACTTGAGAGTGTTTTCAAAGGGACGGGGAAGCTCTTCGCGAGAGAGAAGAAGAAATGAAGCCTTCTAAAATTAAAATTTTTTTAATTAACTTTTATAATTCCCATTTAACCAAACCGTGGAGCCAACTGAACCGACCCAGCACCATACGACCCACGTGTTTTCGTTTAAATAGGGTAAACCACAGTTTTGGTCCTCCGTTCTTTAGTTCTTCTATTGTCGCCCCCATTTTCTCCTAAAATCGATACACACTTCTGTTTTTCATTCAATTCGGTCCCATGTATTTAAGTTTTAATTGTTATTGTTTCATCTATTCGTTTTATTTTATTTATATGTATATTTTTTTTAATATTTTATTTATTTATATTACTATTATTTTCTTTTATTTATATTTTATTTCTATTCTTTTTATATACATTAATATATATATATAAACTTTTTAAATCATTAGCTTTTCTAGTTTTATTTTATTTTAACTATATATATATATATATGTTTTATTGTTTCTCTAGTATTATATGTATACACGTTTCATCATTCTCATTTGATTTGTATTAAAAAACCATATCTCATTATTATTATGTACATATTATATTATATATATAACCTAACATTTTGAATTATCACTCCTTTAGGCCCTACCCCCTCTTTTAGATGACCAAACCTTTATCCTTTTTTAATCTGTATCCTTTTTTTAAGTTCGTATCCCTTTTTCTATTTTCGGTGGAGTGGCGTTTTTTTTCCTATTTATTATTATTATTACTTAATAGTATATATATTATCATTTTTAGTTCTCATATTTTATTACTATTTTTTATTCTATCCATTTTTTCTTTTTCTGTATTTGTATTCGTATTTTTACTTTCGCTTAGTTTTCTAACTTGTTTTATTAATTTATTGATTATGTGTTTGCTTTTATTTTATTTATTATCTTATTTATTTATTTATCTTAGCTTTTTTTTTTTACTAATTCTATCTTCCTTCTTGCTTGGGTTTATTTATTTTATTCATTTATTCCTTACTTTTCATCTAACATTTTCTGATTTTCTTTAAAAGGCATGATTTAAATCTGTCAAAAGGTAAGTTTTGGATCGCTATTTTACCTTTTAATTTAAAATGCAATTTTCTTAATCAAAGACAACTGGAAAGTACGTAGTACCGAAAGGACGGTTCAAGGGTGATAATCCTTCCTTAACCGTAACCGACTCCCGAACCCGACACATCTTTGGAAAGACGTAGATCAGGTAAGAAATAGGGTATCCGATCAACCCATTTATTTTTAAATAAATGATCGATGGCGACTCCAATCCTCATTTTTCAAGTCGAAGCCCAATCCCGGGGCCCAACCGAAAGACGGTTGCGACAATACTAAAACTACTTAGCATGATTTTAGGATAGCAGAATCATTGAGGTTTGTTTTTCTCTTTTATGTTATTGTAAGGCTTATATAAGCAAAAGGTTTGTTTATTCTCAAGAGGTAGTGGAATTCACCTATTTTGAGTGTGAACATTTTATGCCAAGAATCTAACAAAGAAAGCTTCCAGCTCCGAGGAGAAGAACGTTTGACTTAGGGTTCAATACCCTCCATAAACATTTGTACTTCGGTATTGTCCATTTTCTGGAAAATCCACAACAAAATCATTGATTACTTCAAGAAACATAACGCAATACCGGGTGAGGGTGAGGGTGACGGGAGCGGGGTCTCAAAACCTGAATAATTAGATCAAGAACCTCCATTGCTGCTCATGAAACGTGAGGATGGTGGAGGTGGAGGCATTGGTTGAGGTCGATATGTTGCAAGTCTAATGGATGGAGGAGTGGGCTTCGGAAGTGTTGTAGCAAATTGATTCACAGGCGGTGATGGAGAACTTTTTAGAGAACCAAAACGACGACGTTTTGTTATGAATTGTCATGTCATAACGCCGTTAACTATTTAATGAAAAAATGACTAAAAAAATATAATATATAAAATTCAATGAGCAAAGTGAAAAAAATTAAAAGTATGATTAGTGAAATAGGAAAAAGAGTAAAATTTAATGAGTAAATTTGTAATTTATCCATAAATTAATTGTGAAACAAGTTGATCAAATTTGTACCTTCCAAAAAAAGCATATGACGTGACTCATATAATTATAACACTCAATTGTCAATTAAGCCAAAAAAGGAAAAACGAGAAGCCAGGATTTGCGCCTTCTCTAGTGCTGCCTTTAGACAAAGCAAAACTCAATTTGTTGCATGATTTGTTTTGTTTCTTTGGGGCTATGTCGCCATCAAACAACAGAAAAAGAATAAATATTAAACATTAAAGAACAAAATCTACCGCTTGTTGGATTGGACCGACAAAGGCCACTTGTCTTTTCTATAATAATATAACGATTCAACCAAGAAAAATATATAGTAAAATATGAATTGCAAAAAGTAAAAGCACAAACTTTGCTTCTTTCACTAGACACGAACCTGACCGAGTTTCCGTATAGCCACATCCAATTGGCGTCATGTTAGTCTCTCTGCCTATCATGTTAGTCTCTCTGCCTATAATGTTAGTCTCTCTGCCTGTCTATATGAGAAGCCGATTCGTTCGAGCAGCCCATGTAAGATTTACGACTCTTCTCTTAGATCATGACACGAATCCGACCAAGTTCGAACAAGTGGAATATACGAACAAAGATACTGTGTACCCTTGAAGTCGATATCATGAGCTGCTCGAACAAACCAGCTTTTTATAGATAGGCAGAGAGAATAACACCACACCAATGTGAGATGTACTAGGTTTTGCTCACTCGGCATTCCTAGTTTGTTCCTACAGTAACTAAAGTCTAAATCAAGGCAAGACATGCTTTTCTTCTTATGCTTAACAAGAATAAGTGTAAAGGTACAAATTTGGCTACATTACAATCTTCACTATCCAAGTTATCCTCGGAGACAATTAATTAACCCACCGAATTTCGAAATTGTAATGGATGACTTAGGCATATGCATATTAGTTAATCAACATCAGACATTAGCAAACATGTGAAAAAATGTATCTATAATCTCATTCAAATGGTTGCAACATGCAAATTAGCAAATAAACACTATGGTAACTTATCAAAGTATACCAATTGCTAAAGTGCAATGCTTGAAGTGTAGTTTTCAATTCCTTTTAACGAGTTTAGGAATCGGCATGATATCAAAGACATGGCACACATGCACGAATCAATAAGAAAATTTCTATATAAATACACAATTATGACTGAAGTCACAAAAATTTCTGAGGGAGAACCAACAAGCACTCTCCTTCAACCATGTTTTTCCCCTTTATTTCAGATATACGTGGATACAAAAATCTAATATGTGTTTCCTATTGTACAATCAAACTGTGAACTGAACTACAACAACAACTCACCCCCATTTCCAGCACTGAAAGTTTTTTAAATTCATCCAATAGCATGATTGTCTCTCAATGTCTGAACCAAACTCGAAGTGTATCGCCTTATCTTCTCGTTCTCTTCCTTTATTAACCCCATACAAATCTCCAAAACCCCTTCGTTCATCGCTTCGAAACACAGCCTTTCGCCACAATGACACAAACAATTCAATGTAAACAACCCATATTGAATTCCCCTTGAACTCCCATTCCTTAAAACTTGAACCAAAACCTTGACACACCCATTGACCTTCATCATCTCTTCTCTCCCTTCTTTACATTTCACCAATACTCCCAACACTTCAATTGCCCTTTCCAAGCCAGAATCCAATAATCCGATCAGTATCGGCACCGCCCCGCAATCGATAGCTCTCCTTCTGTTATCAGAAAATGAACAAATTGCATAAAGAGCCGTTGCTGCCTCTTTCTTTTCCCTTCCTTTCCCTGAAATCAGAAGCCAAACCAATGCCTGAATCGCATCCGGGTATGCTCCTATCGTTGCTTTATTGACTTCCACGACGGCTAAACTCGTTATAATTGTTGCAGCTATGGCTCTGCGATCGGGTGACCCAAGACGCAAGACCTTGACGACCCGGTTAATCGCGCCTTCCGCGACTAAACCCACTTTGTTATCATCTTCTAGGCTGAGATTAAGGAGTAAAGAGAGCGCCTTTTCCTGTAAATTCGAATCATCCGAGCCGACACACCTGAGAACCGTAGGGGCTGCTCCCCACTCGGTTAGCATACGGCGAAGTGACGAGTCATGTTTGGTGAGTCTAGCGAACTGCGCGATAGAGTTAAGCTTGGTTTCGATAGGGGACGATGGAGAGATCAGAACAGAGATGACGGTTTGGGGCTGAGGCCATGGCTGTGACTTTGACGGAGCGACGAGGGTATAGTTGGAAATTAAGGAGCGAAGTGCATGGTTCGGGATGAGACAAGGGTGTTCAGGCAAGGGCAGTTTGGTAATCGGACAAGTCCAATGACCAGCGTCTAGCCACCGTTGGATTGATACCCGGTCGAAGGTGTGACCGGATGGAAGGATAACCGGGTCGGACATTATCTCAAGAGATATTGGACACTTGAAATCGTCAGGGAGCTGAGTTGCCATCTCGCTTCCAACTCGGTTAAAAGACTCGGCTTTCCTTCTTAGAGTTTCGAAAAAAACGAGGATTTATGAGGTTTTTGGAAGCTGTGGGGAGAGAGAAAGGGAAGAACTTTGTTTCTCAATTGAGCAGAGAGAGAAAGATACTGGAGAAGGAGGTAATTTGCGAGCAACGGGTACCGAGTAACGGCTCCCTCCACGAACCCTACGTTACTGCGTTACAAGTGGTTGCCATTTAAAGTCAACTATACCGAAGTCCTACTTTTATATATAAATGTAAAATATCCATCCTATTTGAACTCATCAAGAAGTCTCCGTGGTTAAAAAAAATATTATGTGTTGAGATTAAATCCAGAATTTTAGAATAACAGAGGGACCAATGTCATATGTCTACCAGCAATTGGACTAACTTTTCTGTTTTCATAAAGTATGAGGACCAAATTCTAATTGAAACAAAAAAATCATAATTACAAAGTCAATGTCTGTATACCCTTTGAATACTATAAAGAATATGTATATTTTATCAACGTATCAAAACAACGCAAATGAACAAAACAAATATAAAATCTATCTTCCATCTATCATTGTCACTGTGATATCTTTGGATGATGCAGATGCAGATGCAGTTTCATGTATATCCATACTATAATCTGCATCTGCCAAGCTTCTCATGGAGGTATAAGAGGACTGTTTCTACATCGGCAGCATCAGGGCTTCGCTCTCCAGCATCAACACCACGGCTGCCATCATCGGCCTGTGCAACGCCGAGTCCTGCTCGCGCAACATCCCTATGTGTATGCATCTCAACGCTTCATTCTTCTAGCATGAATCCCGAACCGAAGGATCAACGAGCTCCATTGCTTTATCTTCGTTCCAAAGACTCCATGCCTAGAAAAATCAAGTTCAATGAAAAAAATAGATTTTAGTATTGGGAATTCGGTAACGAAATCCGGTTGATTGGATGTACTGGTGCATGCATTTGTACTCATATGCGATAAGACTCGTGTGATCCGATGAATGGAAGCTGGTATTTCGCCCGCGACAAATGATTTCGAACAACAATACCCCGAAGCTGTACACATCGGACTTGACCGAAAATAGTCATTCCATGCGTATTCGGGAGACATATATCCACTGCAATTTTAAGATCAGAAAGCCAAAGGATTAGTTCTTTCAAGCTATTGGCATCGTTTGTAGCATAACATGTATAAACATGTAGAGTTTTTGCTTACTATGTTCCGACTACTCGAACCGTATTTGCTTCGTTTTGGTTGCCCCCAAAGATCCTGGCCATGCCAAAATCCGAAATCTTTCGGATTCATCTCTGCATCCAACAAAATGTTGCTGGCTTTCAAGTCTATGAATGATTCTAAGTCTCGATGGAGGTAAAGTAGTCCTCTTGCAATGCCTTCGATAATGCTGAACCGGGTTCTCCAATCGAGTAGTGCTCACTTGGGTTCATCTGCCATGAAAGTTTATCAGTAAATTACAAGTTTCGGTACAAAAACTAATGAAATTCCGAGCATAATGCAGAACATACCAAAAAGAAAGTTTCCTCTAGCCCTTGGCCCGATGTTCCCGAAAGCCGCTTCACCGCTATTTCTTGGCCTCCGGGCAACTCTCCCTGTCGATAAACTTAAACAGTAAGCATTGTTTCCGTCGATCGGATAGATAATTATAGCTATACACATTAGAACTCTGTAATTAGATAAAGAAATTCACCTTGTATACTGTTCCAAAACCACCCTTCCCAAGCTTGTTTGCTTCACTGAAGTTCTTTGTTGCAGCTGCCACACTACCAAAGGTAACAATTGTTAATTCCGGTCCGTTTACTTGACTCCCATTGAGAAGTATGTTGGTTGGTCCCGATAGATCTGCCGAAAAATCTTTGGTCTTGGACTCATTAAAAACTGCTACATCATCCTCCTTGCAACACGGAATCGATGAAACTACTGGTAAACGTTTAACTTTCTTCTTGTATCTCCGTAGCAGACATATAGATACCACCAAGAGGCATGCCCCCAACACAGTGATTATAGTTATCGCAGTGTCAGATATCTTCCTACCGCCATCTACGGTAGAAATGAAAAGGAACGGTGTTAATCTATCAGAGAAGTTCATACAAGATGTCTTATGTTGAATTATGCAGTGAAATGCAGCAGAATTCATGTTCAAATGAGCTATTTCAGCTATTTAGCCAACTAAAATGATGCAGTTCACTAGAAGCCTAAAGAGCAACTATTCGAAATCATGGATGCAGCGTACCTAATTCAGAATTATGGACGCGGTAGAAGAACTGTAAAGTTCCGGCTTGTTCAAAACGATGAAGATCAACCAAGTCTTCTTGCCATATCATGCATCCAATTCCAGAAACAAACGCATATGCGGTACAGGAACAATTCCCCAAGCAACTTGATCTACAAGCATCCATGTTCATAGCAGACAACAGCAAGCTCGATGCAGGGTTTCAAATCGCGGTTAAGTATCTTTAAATTATGTTTAATCCTAATAAGTTAAGTATCTTTAAATTATGTTCTTATTTAATTATATTCATTAATAATTGAATCTAATGAGTTTAGTTATTTGCAATTAGGTCCTTAATTAGTTATATTAATTAATAATCAAGCCTAATAAGTTTAGCTTCTTTAAGTTACATCCTTAATTAGTTAAATTAATTAATAACTGAGCCTAATAAGTTTAGCTTCTTTCAGTTAGGCCTTTAATTAGTTAATTAATAACGGAACCTAATAAGCTGAGTTGCTTGTAATTAGATCCTTATTTAGTAAAATTAATTAGTAATTAAACTTAAGAAGCAAGGGAACTATTCTTAGAACTTAACCTTGATTAATGGAATTATAAAGGGCTTGGGTTCATTTAATCTAGCAGAATAAGACGTTGAAACTCTCCTTGATCATACTAGTTAATCTACCAGAATAAGATGTTAGATCCTCTAAACAACATTTAAGACTCAATTCATTATGTTATGAATGGAATAAAGCGATTGGGAGGATTTTAGGATGTAATCGAGCAGAGCTGAAACATTACCTCGAGCTTGATTCAAAGTTCAAGACTCGATACTTGGCTTGATCTCGATTGATCATCAAATTCCAAGCTCGAGCTCGACTCAAGATATAATCAAACTATTAGATCTCTAGGTCAAGATCAATTAAACTCAGTTATTCATTTCTTCAGTAAATCTCAAACTTGAGCTCGTTTGTATTCAATAACATGGACGCGCCAGTGATATCGTTATTCATGGACAACTTACCAGAGAGTTTGCATCGGAAAGGACTACGGCAGATTTTCGGCAAACAAGGCGAGGTCATGGTATTAGTAGAGGGGGTACTAAATTCGGCTTCGTGAGAACGGGAAGTAGTAGAGATGAATCAAGAATGATAGAGAGATTGAATGGCTTGAAGGTTTATGACAACATATTATCAGTTATGTTTTCGAGAACAATCAACAAACCGCAGAATAAAAAATCACAAGATTGGAAATCGGAGTGGAGACCAAAAAAAGTGAAAACGTTAAAACTTGAAAACGGGGAGAAGGAGCTCTACACTCAAATGCATGTAAAGAGAAAGAGTATTATAGGTTTTGTTGAAGAGGCAGAGTTATGAAAGACGTGTAACACCCTAACCCGATATAATACAAGGTCGACCGACTAGAATGTCACTCGGAACCACCGTAGTGGCTAACCCCAAAACTTTTCTTAGAAACCATTTGTAAAACCATCATTGAAAGATCATTAAATAAAACATAATTCATTTAAATTTATTAAAGAGAAGCTCCCAAAATATACATATGACAAAATAATACAACAAGTATCAAAATAAAGCTAGGACTCAAGTACATAAGGTATATGAATAATATATGCCCTCTATACAAAACACTCAAGACGTACTTTGCTATTGCTCGAACTGTCTGGAACGTCAACTACATGATAGCTCCTCAAATGCTCCTTCTAAGGACAAGCGCACATAAATAGATTTTGAACGCTGAGTTTACTAGCTTAGTGTTACACTAACAAGTAAAACATACTAAAAGTGTTCAATAAATGCTCATGCTATCAAGTGCAATGAAGAAAATGAGTATACTCGTATACTGCACACTACTCTAGGATAGACATCATGGTAATAAATGCTCATGCTATCAAGTGCAATGAAGAAAATGAGTATACTCGTATACTGCACACTACTCTAGGATATACTCGTATACTGCACACTACTCTAGGATAGACAAGTGTCGTTTTACTCATCAAATAAAATCCTCTTCTCAAATAAAATAAATAGAAATAAGTAGTAAAGTGGAGAAAATGGTCGATCTACGAGGACTTAAAATTTCCTGATGTAATTTTATGTTGATTTAAATCCAAGCAATTGCAAGAAAAAAAATAAGAAGGGGGTTTTATGAAATAGAGATAAAGAAAATTAGAAAATAAAGACTAAAATCAAGGTAAATATATTAAAAATAATAATGAGAAAATCGCTTCGAGCTAGCTTTGTTTCAATTTTGTTTGATCGTCGAAATGGATTTTTACTCCGAGATTCATGCTGGTTAGTCTAAAAGGACCAACCCGTTGTAACTTGTCTTTCTCTTTGGTAATCAATCTTCTCAAGTAACTTTTCGAAAGTTGATTCTTGAATGAACTAACCACAACTATTACCGTTAGAACAATCAAACTAAGTGTTGGAAAAACCCGACTCGGATTATGTTGTCTCGTCGAGAATCTAATTCGATCTCTATTTTCCTTAGTGGACCGCCGCTAAGTGTGTTCACAAGAATTTGAATGTCATAAATTGATCATTCCTCCCAACTATAAATTAAAACAACATCTAGACCAACTTTGACTTTTTGATATGAAAACGTTTTAATTTTGAAAGTAAGGCCAATTATCAAACTAATTAAACAGAAAGTCGAGAATGTAACCTGAGGTGTTTAATGATTTTCAATTCTCACATATGGAATTGAGTCGTCGCTTGCTCTTGACTAATAAAGAAATTAGCTAAACATTATATGAATCATACTTGACATATTTTGTGAAAATCGTTAAAAACTTAAAGTAAAAGCAGAAATGAAAATAAAAAAAGAAGCTTTATAAAATTGAAAATAAAATAACAAGATAAAATTCAATATATTCATGCCTTACCGTAAGGAGGGTATTTATATGCTTTTAAATTCTAAAAATAACAAGGAATTCAAAGTGAAAAAAAATCATAAATCTCAAAGATAATTCAAATGTTTTTAAATTCAAACTTAGAAACTAAATTTCCTAAAGAGAAAATAACCTCAGTGACCAAAAATCCCATATAATATACGATTTTAACCAACTTTTTCCGGATTTGCCAAAATGACCAACAAAATCGCAATGCGATCGCTAATTCGCAACGCGATCTCCATTATCGCAAATTCGCGTTGCATTTTCGCAATGCGATAGTTGAAAATCGCGTTGCGATGGTCTACAGTATCGTTGCGATTTTCCCAATTCGCAATGCGAATAAGTAAATCGCAACGCGAATTGGGAAAATCGCAATGCGAATAAGTAAATCGCAACGCGAATTGGGAAAATCGCAATGCGATACTGACTATCGCAATGCGATAATAAAAAATCGCAACGAGATACTTACTTTCGCAACGCGATACTGACTTTCGCAACGCGATTTACATAGCGCCATTCGTATTAACGCGTATTTTTTTTCAAATTCCAAACACGTATTTTTTCTTAATAAATCGAAAATGAACCGTCCACAGTAATCGCAACTCATAACCTCAAACCCAAAAACACAACACTCAGTCCCATCTCCATCTCTCACTCTCTACGGCGAAATCCGTCCCCATCTCCGAAGATTTCCGTCCCCATCGCCGGCGAAATCCCTCACAACCATTCACAGTCAAAAATCCCTCACAATCATTCAGAAATGGAAAATCAACCTCCGAGGGTTAGTTTTTTTTTATTTTTATTTTGAAATTTTTGCATTATTTTAGGTTTTTCATATTGAGATTGATGATAAGTTTACTGGTAATTTCAATAATAGATTAACCATTTCACTTAGATTTCTTATTAAATTCATTCGATTGCTGCCAATACTGCTAAACTGTTTAGCCTGTGAAGTTAGTATTTGTCTTTGCTTTGTCTTTTGGTTGAAGTAATGCAGAAGAAGAATAGTTTCGAGAATGAAAATCGCAACGCGGAAATAACTATTGCAACGAGATAATCGCAACGCGAAATAAAAATCGCAACGCGAAACCAAAATCGCATTGCGATTTTCATTTCGCGTTGCGATTTTCATTTCGCGTTGCGATTTTTATTTCGCGGTTGCGATTTTCATTTCGCGTTGCGATTGTTTGGTCGCGATAGTCATTTCGCGTTGCGATTCTCTCGTTGCGATAGTCATTTCCGCGTTGCGATTCTCATTATCTCGTTGCGATTTTCATTTCAACCAAAAGACAAAAACAGTGTTGCAAATTTTAGTTTCAAGAATAAACTACTATTTATGTTTATTGTTTTGTTTTTGGTATATCTTGACAGTGTAATTTTTGGTATATCTAACTTGGTATGTTTATTGTTTTTTTGTAGAAATTTTTTTCGGCTTCATTGACATTAAGGAATAAAGTTAGCCTAGCCACTACAATTGCTTCGAAGCTTTCACCTGCACAAAGAAAATTGTTTGAAGAAACCTGCTTCGGGCCATGGCTGAGAGTACAACATCCGGGTGGAGATGCTAGTTTGACCCATTTGTGGCTTCAGACCATGACTAGCGATCTACCCGACAGTATACAACGTGGTGAGGAAGAGATATGGTTTCATTTTCTACCGGCGTATACTTGTTTTGGGCGGAAGGAGTTCTGCTTAATCACTGGTCTACGATTCGGACACGATGATGTAGGCCGGTATACTCGTCATATCACCCGCCCATCATGGTTATCCAGGGTTTTTCCTGATGAGTCAATAGAGAAGCCGAACTTACACGTCGACGACATGAAGAAATTGTTTAATAAGAAAGATGGTTTTACTCGGATGAATGACGTCGATGTTGTCCGAGTATGCCTTCTACTACTTTTGTATGCCGGCTTTCTAGGCAGAGAGGCCAGACAACCTATTCCTCATGAGCTAATATTATTGGTAGAGGACCTAAATGCATGGAATCTGTTTCCGTGGGGTTCGTATATATGGAAAGCTACCTGGACTAAGTTGTCGTCTGCCTTTGATGACCGCAAAAGTTTGCGGGGCGATGGGTCGAAATACACTTTGTCAGGCTTTGTTTGGGCCTTTAAGGTAAGAATTTCTATATAATGTTTTCAAAATTATAATTA